TGTCTCAGGTCCTCAGACATATGTGCATTCAATTGAGCAGCTCAGAAAAGAGAAAGATCTTTTGGGTCAGCTGTGATTACAAGTTATCTGTAGCATTTTACTATGTAGTTGGTTGGAAACAAGTTACAAGTTAATAGCCTATTGTCTAGAAGTAACAGTCTCATGCTGCTTGGAAATTCAAAATAAATATAAGCGCAATTGGGAAAAGGTATGAATAGTTGAAAGTGAGCTGTTACTCTGGCGTTTCACTTTACTTTTAGACCTCTTGCAAATCTAACATTTTTTTGTGTTAGTGAATCTGGCTCCTTGTACTTCAAATATATTTTCGCTCAAAACACCTTACTTCATGAGCATAAATGTTGCTCAGCTTTTCTATAAACAATTTATTGAATCTTTTTCTGACAACGAATCATTTCGGATCGCGCGGCAATAATGGTTGCACGTCCTTTTGACGACTACTTTTCCTACTGTAAGGAGTCGGCTCTCCTTAGCAAAACGTAAAACTAATACTGCATGTTTATTGGATGTGCTGCATTCAGATATCTTGCTACTTAAATAAAATCGCATGCATTGGGATTATTGTAGATATAGCACAGGAAGTAGACATCTGAGTAGCTAGCGTAGACCCATCGTAAAGACTGTGAATAGGCGCTATTGCATAAGTGGTTGTAAAATGCAAATTTAGCGTGTCAGGTAATCTAAATATGGGTTAGTTATGATCAAACTCCGTAATTTAATGGTAAATTTTTGGTTTAAAGAAAATAGGTAGAATACAACCGTAAGTTTGAGCCTCTGAACGTATTATTTTAGAGGTGCCGTCTAGAACATCTTGACATAGAAATGTAGCATGAGCCCCATAGGATATTCCATTCCATTCGGAAACATTCGTACTACAAAATGTTTGAATTAGCACTTTATTTTGTAAATGGCATCTGTATTCTGGAAACACGTAGCTCGGTCCTAACCTCTGGCTGGCTGTCAAGTGAAGAACTAGTGGATACGGTAATGTGTAGAAGTGTAAAAGAAAAGAAACGATCAACCTATTATTAACGTATTCCTCTTCGAATTGAGAAGAAGCAATAGGAGCAATTTAGCCGCAAGTTGGAAGAAACAACAAAAAGTCTCAAGAAGATGGCTAACGAATTAGAAGTCGAAAAACAAAAAACTGACGAGCTTCTTTGTGAATTGATGCCAGCCTCTATCGCTGATGCCCTCCGACAAGGAAGAATGGTGGAAGCAAGTAGGCAATGTTTGATCTTTTGGAGTCATTCGGATAAATGTTGAAAATTTCCTTAAGGTGACTTCGCCGACTGCACGCTACTTTTCACGGATATTGTGACTTTCACAAATATTTGCGCCAAATGTACTCCTTACGATGTGGTTACACTGCTCAATGACTTGTATTTGAGATTCGATCGATTGATTGGACTTGTGAGTTTCAAAGTAACAATAGCGACAAAGTTCTGAGGGGTTCTGATGTTGATATATTGGTATAATGATCAATTCTTAGTGAGTAGTTTGTCTTTGATATTGAACCACCCAGATAACTCGTTTATAAATCTAAAAGCGGCTGGAAAAACGTTAGCCAATTATTTAGTTCCAAAAGCGCTTAGCAATTATCAGCCAGTGTGATATGCGATACAATAAATCTTGTTCCTATTACAACTGCAATCGTTTCAGCATGACGTATATAAAGTGGAAACTATTGGCGATGCGTATATGG